AACAGTAACAGTAACGTTTAGGCCTTACAATGAGACTTTCTCTACAGCACCGTTCCGCAACCTATGGGTAGCGACCAAATGTTTGGGTCGCGGAAATATTTTGATGGCTCGCATATCTATTGAGACATTGAAAATTTTACTTAATACGAACGAAGGCAAAGTAAATCAAAATTATAGTAATGAAACGTCTGTGAACTTTTGTAATGCAAGCATTTTCAGTAGTTTAATTTTCAATAATATACTATCAAAACATCAATTGTACTTGACAACATGAACGTTTTAGTTGTTATTTATTTCAATGTGTTTGGTTTTCAGTTAAAAAATTATTTTCCCGTCAATTGAATGTACACTGGTCTTACATTTTACAATGAAATTCAGGTAATACATTTGGCCTTCGGGTCAGATGGGTCGCGTCTGAGTGCTTACCAATTTATTTGGGCTGTGGGATAAAAGGTTTGCGGAACAGGGGTCTATAGTATGAGAGCATTTTGTGTTAAGTATGTCTTGTGATGGAATTTCGTTTACAAAAGTGATTAAGTTTGGTATGTTTGTGGCCTTTGTGCCTAAATTTTTAACACACAAAAAAATTAAAATAAAATCGGCTGGACCTATAATTCCCACGGATAAACAAGGTCATAATTTTTAAAGTAGAACTATCTTTTATACTTGATACATAATTAAGTTATAAATTTGAATTGTAGAAAAACGATTGTTAGTTTAACTGACCATCTTAATAAACATAGTGTAACATGAATAATGGCATGGATTAGAGTTGGGACAATTTCACGGAAACAGTCCTACTCAGATTTTTAATGTTTAATAAGTAATAGAACACGTAACTTCATGAGGGTTCTTCAATACACGTAGACCTAATTAGCCTGCAACGACACATCCATTGAACAAATACAAATTAGTTTGTTAGTTTAGAACCGGACTGAGAAAACACTGGGACATATAATGTTAATGTTTAATCACCTGGTGGATTACTGTTATTGTATTTGAAATGTAGACACATGTTTGGTGAATGCATTTGCTTCTCCAACCAACTGGAATAACATCCCATTACACATCAAACATGCAACTTCCATCATGACATTTAAATCTCTTCTCAAAAGCCATTTATTTAACTGACTTATGTTATGGTTTATAGAATGCCCTGAAACTGCTAAATACCGGGATGGTGTCCGGCGGGGGATAGTTTAACTAATTGTAGTTAAGAGCAATATACTGTATTTAAGAGTAGTTAAGCTTAGCTTAAGGTAGTTAGGGACGTCCTGGGTACGACTTTAAACTCCATCCGGTCGAAGCGTCGGCGACTAAACTGACAACCCTCTCAAACATGTCTTAGTGGCTGCTGGGGGAGGGTGTTTATGGTCACCCAGCAGCAAGAAAAACCAATAGCTGAACAAAGGGCGGACCATTAATTAGTTTAAGGAATAGGAGTAGTTTAGTCTCATTGTTATTGTTTTATGATTATTTTTATTTTATTTTATTGTTAGGGGCAATGTGCAATATGCGCTATATAACACTATTATTATTATTAACTACGGTACTTTTAGAATAATGCCTCTCACAACGAGTAACAGATGTGTGTGTGTGTATGAGAGAGACAACATTGAGAACATTAGAAAATAATGACCTTGGGATTAAAGGCAAGCATTAACCACTGAGTCGAAAATGCTCGATATAAATCAAGATAGCTGTTAACACTGGTAAATTATATAAATCATCAAAGAAAAGTAAATACAGTGTTTGAATAAATGACATAATAGTACATTAACATTCGGTGAGAACTATGCTCGATGTAGTATTATGTTCTTTATTCGACGCTGTTTTTACCTTTCTTTGATGATTTATGCGTATATATGTGTATATACCGTAAGGGTATGATCGCCTTTTAGTTTCTTATTCCTCCACGACTTGATCAACGCTCGGTAGAGGTCGATAGATACAATATGGAATTATATGAAACATTGATAATAGATTTGTTTTGATATTCAAGGTGGTAAATAATCATTCATCATAATGCTGGTTATTAAGGAAATATGAAATCTAATTAGATATAATTATTAGTATTATAGCGATTTTGAAATATTATGCAACGCAAAACAATATATCTTTATCACCAAAAATTGTTATTTTTTTTTTGCGTTGCACCTATCAGTTAATTTTTTGAACTGGAAATTAAGTAATTGTAATAAATTACCATTCCTTTCCTTATTCTAACATATTTAATACATAGAACATTCTAGAATAACATTTAATAGATCAAAGAAACAGTGTAAACCACATTGGTAATTTTAGGAACACACGACACCATGTAGAATCCAAGAGTAATATATGGAAGCTTCTAGAATCTTTGGTACTATAGAGGCAAATAAGCCTAATTGGTTAATTATAATGTAAGGTGACCAATGAGGAACTTAGGCAATATAGAATGATCTTGAATGCTCTGGAATAGTGCAGCTAGAGTATATAATCTGACAGTTTTATCTTTCTGGAGCTCTTTTTGAAACACATGTTAATGTGAATGTTGTTATGTTATTTTGAGACCGGATTCTTGTTGGAATTTATACAGAATAAAAGTTTATTTGAGAGTTGCTTTACAACATCGTGAGCTGTGTTTATATTTTATATGTCAAAGAAGGATTCCTAATCATTTCTATACCGCTCGGAATTACGTCAAGTAGGAATTCATGACAGTAATTCATCAAGACTTAGCAAATTAATGGATGAAGGTTTAAATTAATTTGACTTATCGGCAAAAGGTCTAAAATCAAAATCTGCAAATATCAATTATTGTACAGTAAATCAAAAATAAAATTACACCTAACACTCTAGTGACCTGAACATCTTTGTTTCATCTAGGAAAAGCCACAAGGACGAATACCAAATTTGGGGGTTGTTTGGAGGAAGGAGGTACCGTACAGTAAAACAATGAGATTGGACGGAGTCACAATCAGTTTTTTGAAACCAGTGTACATTCAAATAACGCTGTGCAACCCTATTTTCGTTGCGTGCCTGTTGTGCGTGCGTTCGTTTAAATCTACATCAAGCGAAGCAATTTCTCATTATTGTGTGTCCGTTGAACCGTGGAGATCTCTAGGTCCCCGGTTCAATTCCATCGTTGCCTCTCCTTGTGTTTCAGCTAGAAGTTACAATAGCGCACCGTCTTTCGGATGAGACGTTGCTGTTGGTCCTGTGTGCATTTATGGCCCATGCGTTAAAGAACGCAGTACACTCTTTGGAAAAGAGTACGGGATTGTCTCCCGGTGTACTGCCCAATCACCACCAAAAGGACCCCACTGGACTTCTTCGAGACATTCGTGGGCTATTCTTGGTGTTTACACCGAATAAATCCAATCAAATCTACCTTTATCTGTTTTAGCATATATGTTTCCATGTGTACTTAAGGCTCAGTCGGATTCTCTCCTGTAAGTAAGACTACTTTACGACTCAACATTTTTGACTGAGTTCCTCTACTTATTCATGACAAGTATACATATTTCTCCTGACGCAAATCCAGTTATTGTCTATTATTCCATATACTCACTGCTTTATTTCTTTTCGCCTGCTGGGTTTTACTTTGGGCATTTGTATGTTAATTTATGCAACATTCCTTTTTATGCCTGATAATGTTGAGGAGTAAAGTGGTCAGTTCTACTGTAATCGTTTGAAAACAAGTCTAGAAATAAAAGTGAACAATAGCAAAATGAGGTAAATATCATTTTCCCATTGGTTGTTTTTCATGTTCAGCAATCTTTCGAATATATCCCTTCTGTACATATTGGTCAATTGTTGAAGAGTATGATGCTGCTATGTCCGGATCTCTTAACAAACGTTTCTCAGTACACTCCAGTCTACGAACTGCCATGTCATAATTTTCTGTAATTGTTTCATGTGCTATTGTTTGAATTTGACAACCATTTCTAGCACAATTTGTGTCACAAATACACGCACGACAATAACAGCTATCAACACTGCTTACTTGGACTCGAATTCAACCCTGGCCATCAGGTGCAAGCTCGGTAGTCTAGAGGTATGATGCCAGGCTAGTGATCTGGAGATCGTGGGTTCGAGTCCCACCAGAGAACAACTTGCGATTTTTTCGTAATTGTTTTCAAATGTATTGAGTATTCGGTACATTTCCACGTCAGGTAGGGCAAAAAATACACCTATACATGTTTCTCCTGACGCAAATCCAGTTATTGTCTAC